TGAAATTCTCTGATACATTTTGATTAGAGAGACTTTTATCACACAAAAAGAATTTATGATGGAAAAATACTTCTGTGTTATCAACAATAGGTATTAGTTTCTTGTTATAATGTTAAAACTATTTCAATTTGAATAATTGACTAAGCATTCTCCCGTCATTCTCAATAGGAGGTCACCAAAGTAGTATCAGAGTGTCATGATACTGTGTCAGGACATAACTCATATTCTGAGGAATTCCAATTGTTTTTGTTATTTTGTGCTAACTTTTTGAACATATGCTACTAATTTCGTTATAGACTGCCGATTGTACGACGAAATAAGGTCTTTCAATGATGTTAAACATTGTACAAACATCAATTCATCTCTATAGATCAATATAATTAATCATTAATTTAATCGTCCAAGTAAAGGAAGGCGTTTAAGTCCTCGATACATTCGTTTGTTGTTTTATGCAAATCTCAACATCATCAAGAAAGACTAAGTTTTCAAACAAATGTTTAGGAAGCCTTCAGACTACAGCCCATTCCTATTAAGTGTAATATCAACCTTGGCATGACTATTCGGTTGATTCAATCGGCTTCTACTCACTTCGAATCAAGAAAAAAATAGTCAGTTGATATTGAAACCCTAGTCTAATTGAATCAAATAGAAACAAGACTAGAAAACATGATCGAATCGATTCACATGAGTATATTGGAATTCGCCTAGGGCTCCAGCCGGTCGTCACAAAGCTTCTCAAAATGCAAATGATAATAGAGCTCACTAAGCGTTTCATGAGGGTTTGATGTTGCAGAAATCAGAAAGAAAAGCTCAACAGTAAATATCTTTTTTACAAACCTTTTTTGAAATAAAATGGTTCCGTTAGACATGAATTAATCCATGGCCGTTGTCTATTAAATGGTTTGTGCAACATTTCTTTTATAACTTCCCCCATAATATCTTCTAGACGCACATTTGGTCTTTCCAGATGATTTAACAGTGCCGATGTAAAGAAACTATTTCCACCTGGTTTACCAGAGAAAGATACTGTGCCAGGATCAGATGAAAATATCAAAGCAAATTGTGACTTTTGTGGTATTTCAACATGTGATGTTAATGCTTTGCCAAATGCTGGCGTAAGACATGTTTCTTCATTCATGACTTTTGTTTTCCAGGTATCATTTCCTTCATCGTATCGGCAAGCATCCAGAATAATAATATTTAATAGATTCTTTCCAGAATGATTGAGATCCTTCAACATGTTATCCAAACTTATGCAATCAAAATACGGATCTTTCATCGTTCCGATTGGTATTAAATAGTTCTTACCCTAAAAGAAATAAGTGGAATGCACAGAAGTGTCGAAATCATCATTTTTGAAATAGAGAAAAATATAAGTGCAAAATAAAAGACAACTTTCCTATAGTAGAAATCCAAAACACTTCTGGAAAAGGTTCACTACACAAAGTTGTTTACTTTGAAGAGGTTTTCTATTTGTTTTCTCAGAAATCATCTCTATAGTTGTACACTTGATCGTACTCTCTCTTAGTTTATTACAAACATTTTACAACCATCGGTTATTTTTGAAATAACCGTTAATTCAATTATATTTCGATATTCTTCAGTCAAAATGTCCATTAGTTATCTTCAACGACATCTTCGTGACGATTAAGATTTCCTCAAATGTTTCTTAGATCTGAGTAGCGATAGTTTTTTTAGACCATTGAAGGCTTAGAGTCATTTTCGAGACATCTTTGTAATAGACTGGCTTCCTTTGATATAACCAATGCCTTTGGTGTACAAGAGACTACTGCTGTCTATTCATCCATTAAGAATAGAAGGAATGAATTAGTGAAAATTGATTGGTTACGATTTTCACAAAATATGGTGCATGTCAGTCGAAATACTATAGAAATGTATTTAGAATTGTGTTTTGACCAAGAAAATGTATTCAGTGTAACCGATTATCTACCTTGAAGAGGATATTCACTGCTAGTAGGGTTGCAGAAAAATATCTGCAGTCCAGAATACGAAAGTTTCCATTTAGGAATTTATCTCAACAGCCCAAAAAGTTTTTTCGATGTTTCATTCAGAGATTATAAATCAAAAAATCGACGATTTTCTGTACATCGAAAAGCATGACATATATTAAGTTTTAAGTACAAATCTTTCGAACAATTGTCCGCACCATACTATAGTTAAATAAAAAATATTACTGTCAAAAACTGCGTTCAATATATCTCAACACTGATTTACTTGTTAAACATTCTTTGACACCCCAAAGAATGGTAAATTTTCAGGTTAACATTAAATTCTCATTATATCTTCGCTGCTTTACGACTCATAACAATCAGTCGTCTAGCAATTTTCTAGATTTCAACATGAATTGTGATAGTCAAGGCACGGTGAAGACGACAGATGTAGTACTGAATTTCAGGTTTACTCATCACGTTGACAATATGTATAGGTCAACTAAAAGTTTTAATAAAATGTAGCATAGAAATTTAGTTTGTTAAAAACTACTTTAAAACTTATGTGGTAGCTTCCCAAAAAAAAGATAGTCGAGAGACGAGATGACCATACTAAAGCCTAAGAGAAAAGTTTAGATGGCGTTTTGTACAGCAAAGTAAATTCTATCGATTACTAAATGACTGGTTGCTATTAATCGTGAAAGAGTGAAGGTATAATAAAAATGCATTGATGATCTGAAAACATGGAAGTTTCTTTTAGATATCAAAGAAAATCTATCAAGAACACAGTTTTAGAGAGTAATATTTCTCACTTAACTATGGTAGGTAGTGATATGCTTCTATTCATTTTTTTGGCCTGTTTGTTTCTCTAATAGAATGATACACAGTTATGTGCAAGCACCTTACTGAGTTTTACAATTGGATCTTAAAAATCCAAATTTTTCGAATATGAGTTAACACGAACTTGAAGACAATCATGGTGCTAAAATCAGAATGTAAACCATGAATCTACGCTGTATGTTATCCTTTACACACAATCATTTCTAAATCGATCAGTGAATTCCATGTCACTCATGATGACACACGTTTTTCCTTAGTGAAATGCTTCTATAAGTGACAAGATTTAGGAAAATAAAATGCATCTTGTGGTCGAAAATTCTACAATTAAATTGATTAGTGAAGAATAGTATCTAGGACTTCTTAATGATGTTACTTACAAACGTTTGAATATTGTTGTGTTGCAGTGACCATGTATGTAATTTTTCTATCATATAGATCATGGTCTACTTTTTCTCAAGACTTCGTGAAAACTCTCTTTGAAAAATATATGTTGCAAAAGATCACTCTAAATCTATATATCAATGAATCTTGTAATTACTATACCATTGGCAGAAAAAAACGAAATAAATAATTCAACCATTTCTGTTAGAAATATGCAATAACTGATTGATAGATCATGAACGATATCCAGGACACATCATATTTTCTGAACAGTTTATTCTGCGTGAGCTAAAAAAGGTAACTGGATATCATAGTACCGTAGTATCATTCAGGTATTACTTACATAAGATAATCTGAACTGTTTGAATCATACACTTATGTCAATTTATGGGACTTGAAAAGCTTTATTGCGTAAGTTGTATAAAATAATATTTATCAATCACAGTAGCCATTACAATCAGTTTTTTAGTCTTTGATGACGTTTAAACACTAACAGTAACGTTATATTAAACTTTTAAGAACGAATTGGATGGCACAAATTATGCTTAGTTGCTACGTGGTTTTTAAACAAAGATTTGGATTTCAAAGTTAGCGACAGAGCTTAATGTCCAACTGTATGACTAGATCGTATAGACTAGAGATATTTCTTGATATTAAGTATTTAGGCCAAGTGAAACCCTCATTTTAGTGGCTCTAACTGTTATCGATCAAAATGTGAGGGAAAGGTAGAAGCCAATATCTTCACCGAAGTGAAGTCTAACCTTTTCGTCTGTAGTTTGTGTCACTTCTCAGTTTCCTTTTCAACTTAATAAACCACAACCCGAAAGTAACACGTGATATACATCTACCAAGAGAAATAGAAGATATTGCCAAAATATGCTCTGAAATATAACGAGATAATGGGAACATGATTTGCTGGAATATATGCATAAAGCATTAGAAAAGTTCTTGAGCTCGACTCTCTTAAAAACAGTAATTTGAAAGAAACTATCAGATATTAGTGCTTAGACGTATTAAGGATTATGTACAAATTAGCAGACTTATAACTTTTGCCGGTCGTTGTATTTGGTATTTTCTTTTGGACCCATGACATAGCATTTTTCATATAGCTTTTGATTTCTCAGAAGAACACTTTAAAATATTATTTTACATGGCTGATGAATTGGCTCAACCTACTAGAAAAATCATGTCAGTTTTGTACGAGTATAATGAGGTGATTCTTATGAAATATAAGAATGAAAAGAAAGCGCGCTGAGCATCATTTCGTCAGGAGTTATTTCAATTGATCCTGTCAATATCATCTTCTATAGAAGTTTGTGTTCAATCTGTTAATTATTAGCTTTTTGACGATTGAAAGCAGTCTTATATTCAATTATGTTGTCATCAACTAGATAAATTCGGAAGGATCGATTTCATCTTGCATATTACATTATCACTAGCGATAGATAATATTTTCATCATAATGATAAAAATATAAGTGTATACAAAAATTGCACTAATACAAAGTAATCCAAGAATAATGAAGATTCATCGAAACTACAGAGCAGCCTAACAAATTATGTCAATTTTTTTATGAAATCAGTTTAATCAAGCTTATACCATTAGAGTCTTCTAAACAGAAAATAATGTGTCCATGTATACCTAACAGAAGTTTACATTACTGTACAATAACGTCATAAAACTCCAGTCTTTAAATTCTCAGTTTTTCCAATGCAAAGTCCATATCAAAGAAAATATCGATTATCTACAAATAGGTTGCAAAATACCGTATTAAATTCTATCCAAAAGTTTCATGACCGATTTATTTCAGGTATGAAAACCCTATACCAAATTTAGAATAGCTTTTTAATTTGTCAGCTTATTACTTGCTTGTACAAGTTTAGTGGCGACCGTAAGTGACTATGAAATAATGATTGAAGAGAGTCGTAAAGAATTAACTTCAAGAGTAGCTTTGACATTTTAATACAAAAGTAAAACGAAACTTCATGGAGATTGAGCAAACTTTTCCTGACAAATAAAAGACAGTATTGAAATTTCAACATTGACTGTAGATTGCTTTGCTGTGTTCAAGAACTTTGGAATTTATCAACTTTGAAGAGTATTTGGCAAGGCCATGATCTTTCAAATATAGTGTTACTGCTAACAATACTCATAAATGGCAGAATCACAATTTTATGTGAACATTATCGAGAATAACTTCGTCAAATTACACCAAAGCAAGGCCTCTTTACAATGTTTATCATAAGTGGTCTGTCAAATCCAGTTTTTTGAGCATAGTCGTTTTTATTCTATGACTAGAGAAAATATCAGAAACCTACTAAGATTCTTATCAGATTGGATTTTATTGAAGAAAATTTACTAAGGGCTGCCGAACGTTTTGACTAAATGCAACAAATGCTTCGTCATCCTTACCTGATGTTCCATCCCATGTCCAGAGAAATATATAACTATACAATCATTATCAATAATTGTGCCATGAAAGTCTCTGATTTCACATTCCATTTCACGTTTCTCCAAGTTATGTTTTTCTGTGCATTTAAAGCCTAGAGTATAACAAAAACAATTTTAACAACTTTGTCCTTCATTAAAGTGTCCATCATAAAGACTCACCCAAGCTAGTCAATGCAACCGTGATATCGTTTGCATCCTTGACACAATTCCTTAGTTCAGCTGTCCCACCGTAGTTATTATTTCCAAACACCAAAGCTAGTCGACGTCGATCCATATCAAGTCTTTCGCTTAATCTGAAAGATTAATAAAGAAATTATATTAGTTTTTGCTTATAGCCCTCCACTTACAGCAACATTAGTTGCGTAATGAACGCTTTCTGTTACGTTTCTGAGAAAAGACCAGAAAAAAAACAAGCAGAAACTAAAGCATTAACTATATTTGATAGATTCTCTTATAGAATGTGATGTTCATTTCTGAGAATCTGCTTTGATAACTATAACAACATTCGACATCCGCCAAAATCTTTTCTTCCAGTCTTGATGGGGCTTATCATCGATAGTCTCGAAGGCTATAGCTCTATCTAATCGCCTTTTTTCTATCTTCGTAAGGACTGAGAACT